AAGGTTTGAAATCTGGTGTTGAACCAGGAAAATTGTTAAGGATGATAAAATTGTGACTCATTTCCTCACGTTCATCGGAAAGGATGCCTACAGTTTACTAAAAATTTTGGCATTCCCAAATAGGCTTATTTCACTTCCCTATACAACTCTCAAAAACTACTACTAAGTCATGTAAAGTGTACTGGTTTCGAATGCCGTGAAACAGCGAAATTTCATAGAATGATTGGCCAGAACATCGAGAATTCTACCACATCACTTAGTTATCCTGATCTAATGCGTGATCAAAGTCACTCAGATAACAATTCATTGAGGAGATACAAGGCAGGTTACAGAGGTGAGCATAGGTTTGGTAAATGCTTATTCTGTAGTAAATTTTACTCGTGTAATTCATGTGTATTTCAACATGCAAAGTGTTTTAAATGTGGTAAAATCAGACATATACAAGCAGTTTGTAACACGTCTATGGTTCAATTTTTAGATATCAGTGATTTAAGTACATACAACCCACATTTAGATCAAATACAATTTCAGGACCCAAGTGAGTCGGTTCTAATTCTGGTTGTTAATCCGAACACTAATGTATTTATTCTGGATCATACATAGTCTATATCCGATACAAACACGATGAACCTAAGGAGAAGTATAATCGATTACAGAGATTCAAACTCTTATTTAAGCTGTGCAGGTTGTGGTATAAGTACGTAGTAATGACTCCTTTGTGCTTGATTACCCACTTATTACGAATTACAAATACAATATGTTCGATTGTGTTAATCTAGTCCAACTTGTTGTAAATTGCACTATTTTGGGTACTCCTGGTAAGTGTATCAATTCGAATACTTCTAATCATAATACTTTGTTCCCTCTTTATGCCGAGAGGTCATAAGAACCAATATAATCTGGTTACAATGTTCGCTACATCGAAGTGAAGGAGCAACTGGAGCACCGGTTGACCATAGTCAAATACGCAAATGTTTCGTTGTTCAGTAGATGGAAAAATGAATTTATTGGCTGCCTAAATTAAGAAAGGGAAATTTTAAATTTATGTTCGTGATAGTTGAAAGTATTTCAGTTATTATGCCTGGTAGAATAACATGAGAATTCCGATAAGCTAGTTGACTAGAAGATTTTGTCTCATAATGATTTTGAGTTTCACTTAATTATGGACTGAGGTAGGGCTGTATACTGTTTTTCAAAACCGTTGATAAAGACAAATGATCATTAGAAAGACTCAACTTAATAGGATCGGAAGTACAGAGTTTAGCACTACTTGCGGAGAACCGAACGGTAGTGTTACAAACTGCTTGTATATGTCTGATTTTACCACATTTAAAACACTTTGCATGTTGAAATACACATGAATTACACGAGTAAAATTTACTACAGAATAAGCATTTACCAAACCTATGCTCACCTCTGTAACCTGCCTTGTATCTCCTCAATGAATTGTTATCTGAGTGACTTTGATCACGCATTAGATCAGGATAACTAAGTGATGTGGTAGAATTCTCGATGTTCTGGCCAATCATTCTATGAAATTTCGCTGTTTCACGGCATTCGAACCAGTACACTTTACATGACTTAGTAGTAGTTTTTTGAGAGTTGTATAGGGAAGTGAAATAAGCCTATTTGGGAATGCCAAAATTTTTAGTAAACTGTAGGCATCCTTTCCGATGAACGTGAGGAAATGAGTCACAATTTTATCATCCTTAACAATTTTCCTGGTTCAACACCAGATTTCAAACCTTTCTATGTGATCTTCTAAAACTTCAGAATTCGAATTATATCCAACTATTCAATGACAGACTCCATAACGACTCCAATATGATGGTTAAGAAATAATTGAATTAATGTACTAACCAGGAATACCCGAAATAGTGCAATTTACAACAAGTAGAACTAGATGTGCACAAATGAACGTGTGGAGATAGACCTGACAAGCTTATTTTCTAAATAGTTTTTAATATTATTTGTATTTATTTTGTCAATTTCCCACTGCATGTACATTTATCATTAAATGATTGTACCCGTTGTTTAAGTCATTGACCTTGAACACACTTTCCGTTGAGCTACTACATAGCGTGGTATATGCTTGCCGACTAACAAATACATTACTACTCTCGCATTCCTCGTTCTATTTCCATTTGTAATTGAGTTAACGGAAGTCTAAATCAAATACTATCTACATTTATAGACTGTAATCGGAATATATCACATCCTACGTTGGACTATATCGCTAGAGAGTTCGCCAACCTGTTCAGAGTCATCAAGCATTTATAATTGTGGATTTACATTACTGGACCTAATCAGAACACGCAACGTTTGGGCAATTTAATTAACGTCCCTAATTTTTATTGTATTTGTAACAATTAACTGTGTATATATTAATATTACTATTTATCTTTAGTAACTTTGTTTATACTTTTTGCGTTCATATTTGTCTGGTCCACCACAAACGTATTGTATTTAGAATTTGAAATCAGACAATCATCAAGTACAAAGGAATCTTAAGTTAATACAAATATCACAATGTCTTTATTATAGTAGCAGGTTGTCAGTTGATTCTTATCCATTTACTTTTGTATGTCACAATATCGTCAGTTCGTGATAAAGCAGACTTCAAATATACGCTCGCTTATTTTTATTATTAATTGACCTATAATTCATCTTCCTCTGTAATTAAATAAACATACGTTGGTGCCCAAATCATCCCCGTGCTATTATTTCTCACTATCTAACAAACATCAGGTTAAGTGATTCAGTCGGTAAGTATATCAAGGACTAATTGAGAAACAAAGAAAGGTTAATGACACCATATAAAATGAGGTCTAAACTTTCATATTTTGCTTACGTCCTTTTATAGGTGTTTGTATATACTTAAATGTAGATCAATGGTGTTCTTGCAAATTACTCGAAATAATTCGGTATCAACTAAGGTCAAGAAAAACATGACATTTCTTATAACATGTTGGCCAATCTTGACCAGTTATTTTTCTTTCACCAATGCGTTGTGTCCCTCCTGATTTACCACAGTATATCCATATAAAAATACTTTTGTTTATTTCGTTTACTACAGAGTAAAGTAGGTTTACTTAACTACACTTGTGATTTCTACATTACAAAAAACTTAATTAATGATACTGAGACTTACTTACATAATTTTCATTGTTACAAAAGAGCTTTACATTAGCTTTAAAGACTTTCCTTTTCACTACATCAAATGATTCTTCAGTGAGCGATTAAAACAATACCAACAAAAAGCTATGTGAATATTACTAATTATGTATCTAACTACTTACTAACAATAAGTAGTCACATAAAGATCAAACTTTGTCCAAACCGATTGATGATTTGTTTTGCGAGACATTAACCACTTTCTGTTGAAAAACGATACTTCAGTCTCTTGGGAAAACTCACAAAATGAAAAAAGACACATAGGTAACGGATAATACGTCTATTCAGTTTCTATATTAGGTTCTACAGTTTTGAGATTTATAGTGATGTGAGTATAATTGACATAATGTACTTGCTTAAATCGTTCGACTAAAATTATCTTAGATTTTTGTTGAAATGGAGTGATGCAACCACTTAAGCTACATAAAAGTATGACGAAGTCAACCATTTTAAAAAACTTCATGGTCTGACCGAATTTGTGCTTATTCTTGATATTACCCCCTCAGCCATTTCACGAAAAGCAATGAAGAAAGGGACTAAACGTTATTTCCATGAGGGGAAACGGAACAATCGACCTTAGTCATTTTTGACCTTGAACAAGTTCCGTCAACAATTCAACGTACATCGATCGATGTTCTTCTCTTGAAATTGTAGCGGTAAATAAATCCCCAAAATAAATAGCTCTGTAAGTTTTCGACATTGGATGTTGGCTACATTAGTTTTAATGGACTCACCTAGCTAATGGCGCTCGGTCGTGTATCCGCACCAGATCACGAGTGGGAACGCCGTGCTCAACAACTCCTGCAATCGCTAGTCAGATTAGACCAGACGATCCTCGATATATTGGTAGCCTACCAAATGCATCTTCAAACCTCTTCACTTCTGTCTTTTGATTCCACATGGTGGGTGCGCTTCATATTATGTGTTACTGAATAAAGCGTTGTCAAACTCCGAATACCTGTGGCATCTTCAAAACATTTTAGCTTCAACAAAGGTTTATAGGTGTTCAATTTTATTTCACCAACCTACCCCACCGAAATCAACTGCAGAATGATTGTGTATCAAATCCCATAGGGGATTACTAGATATTGTCAGTAAGGTCGAGGATGACGATCATATATTTATTAATTCAGCCCATGCAACCCTAGCAGCACAAAAATCCTCAGTAAGTATGATTTCGGCGTAAGGTAGCTTAAGTTAAAAGATTTAACTCCAATAAGTAAAAACTAAAAATCTGACAATGTGAGTAAGTGCATCATGTTAACGATATTTACACACCTACATGTAACAGTGGTAAATTATTGAGGTAGATATCGGATATCTAGGCTAACAGATCTTTCGTGTTGAGAAGTCGTGTCTCTATTCATATCCCACCTCTCCTCTTACTTGTTCAAATTCTAGAATTGCAACCATGTGATCAGTTACTATGTAAATTGATAGTTCTAATTCTGTAAAACTCATTGCTCTAGAACAAACCAAACTCATTTATAGTCATGAAATATCAACATCCAAATAGCTGTTGAACCCATTAAGACTAATCTAGCTCATTAGCTTGAATGTCCACATTAAACGACGAAAGATCTGGAACCAAATCACGATAGCAAAAGAAATGATCTCAAAAGAGCAGCTAGTTTACACTCAGTAGTCATGAGTTTATTTGATATATTGTGCCTGCCACTGACCTTGAAACAACGCGCGCCATCCGTTAGGGTTGTCACTTATCATGAGTGTTTTTCTCGAGCTGATTTTGTGTAACTGCTTTTCAAGACGTTACAGCTGAAAGTGTTTTGACGTCAAGGTTTCATACTTATCATTTGTCAATAGCAATGGCTAGGTCAGTTCATGGTGAATTACTGTATTTTATATTGGATATGTGTTTTTATATTTATTGGTATCGTACTTAGTTTCTCCGAATTTTATTCTCTTCAAACGTAAAAGAGTAGTGTTTGTTGATGACTGCTCGGTTTTATGGATAAGTTTACTCATCCAAATTTTCTGCAGAAAGCCTAACGAAAATCGGTGAGACTATTATTTACGCATGACCTTTGAGTGATGCTACAGGTACCTTTGGTACATGCACTTACTTAATAGCGTTAATAGAGGGTCATAAGTTAATATGAGGAGTTGGGATTAGGATTCACGGGTAAGAATTGTAGTTAGGGTCTTCGCAAAATGACATAAGCTATTGTGCCATAATGCGGTGACTCTAATTTATGGACGACCTTTGAAAGAATCTTAAATGACCTTAGGAAATATTAGCCAATCAGCAAACAGTCTGTATAGAGTAAAAAGATGTTATACAAAACCAAGGAAATAAAATGGATACACTTCTTATACGTGGTCCGAAAATTTGTCAAGGTTAGAAAGGGGTTCAGAGGTTCTAAAATCGTAATGCATGCAGTAGAGGGAATCATTCATACGGCTACAGAATAGTCGGCCTCTGGAGCCATGATAAAGTCTCAAAAACTCTTTCAGCCTCGACCATATAGCTTCAATATTGTTTATGTGCACTCCGGTTGTTGAGTGCACAAAATGCTACTTGTGGATAACGACGCGATGCACATAACCATGCCTATGTGGGAGTCTGTACGCTCTCCAAATATCCGTATATATTGTAGTACCTGGCTGCAGCCAGTGTTACTGGTGCTTTCATTATCCAGTTCGCAATAATCGTCATAATTTGCCTTAGTTAGGAATTATATATGGGGTTTTTATCACGAACTGACATCAGCTATAATGCCAGAAATGTATTTAGCCAAATAGATGAAAGTCTTTCGCGTTAAAACCCGAGATCTATTATCTTATACCTGATTGATTTGTCCACAAATTATAGTCTCGCCGTTTCATTTGTTATAGCCGCTCAATTATCACGTTTTGTACAAAAATCCCTGTGAACTGAACGTACGTTAGCATTAAGCACTGAAGTTGGCCCCGTAATCTTGAAATCTCTAAAACCCCTCTGATTGGCTCGTCCATAAATTAGAGTATCGCCCGAAATGCTAGTTACCTATGTAGATGAATAAATTTTGTGTCGAAATCCAAGATTTACTGTCCTTAATGTCGTTGATTTTTCCATACATTATAGTCTCGCCCAGTTGAGGTTTCAGATTTGTGTATTAAAGACAGAATGTCTACGGCCCGTGTTAGTCCTTTTCCAGATATTTATTTGCTTAAATACATAAATATCGATACGAGGCTTCTGAGTGTTTAGTCTTTGAATGAGTCATTCCAATGGGCGAACACCACTTCTTTGAATAACAAGTTCCCAGAATTGATGACACGGTGTGAAAAACTGTATGCTATGGGTATTATGTTCCTTCTTGGGTTTTATACTCTCCCGCTATATTCTTTGAATTGTCCTGATCTGATGAGAAGAAATAAGAGAGACACAGCTCCAAAATAGTTTCTTATCATTCTGTACATCAAAATTAGATCACCTCTTTATCTGTGGTAGGACAGGATGAAAAGGTCTAACTGTTTAACATGCTCTTTGTATGGTTAAACTCAAAGTTCTGGAATTCCACGGGTAGCTGCCCTCTGTACTTTTTAAGACATCCGAGTCGCCTTTTAAATAGAGGCTTACAGCCCCGACTCGGTTTTCAAGTTTGGATCTCACTAAAGTTGTGTATAATGTAGTGAACATATTAGTATCTTACTTGGCAAACATCCGTTTAAGACCCATTAGGGTTCCAAACCCCTTGGCTGTTACTTCACGGCAGTGGGCCTTGGTCTCGATTTCCTTCTATCTTATTGTTTATTTTTACATGTGATATAAATGAAAACGATGTAGTCACTCCTTTAGCCTATCACTAGACGGTGTTTTCGTCAGTCAGTCAGTCAGTCAGTAACAACATAGAACTTCGTTCGTACGTACATCGGTTCGAGTTCCCATACCACATTAGCACAGAGATGCAGTTGTCGATTCAAATCCCGTAGTGGTAGAGGTAGTAAGGGTATAAACGGTAATCGGGATATTAGGGTTTGGAGATGTTATTTAAAGAGTATAATACAGTGAAATAAATTTGGGAAGAGAAAAAAAAGAGGCAAGGAGGAATCAGAAGCGCTGTTTTTGTACGGGGTACTGGTCAATAAATCCTACTAAATTGTACGTCGCCTTTGAATTTCCCAGATTTTCACCTTGCCTCAGTTTTTGTAAACAACAAATATGAATAGTACCATCACCTTTTGTCTTTTTTTTCTGATTTCTGATGTCTTGTTAGAGGATTAAAGCATAAATAATAAAGCTAATCATCGGCCTTCCATAAATGTAGTGCATTTCGTCTAGGTAGATGCCTCGTGAATTTCTGAAAATAATTGGTATTTGGTGTGGTATTCAGTTCAGGAGTATTGATTACTTCCGTTTGAAAGTTCTAATCACGTTCACCCACTGCTCATGCTAAAACTCTTTTAAAAAGTTGATGTATAACGGTTGGTTCACAAATCCGAACCCTTTCCTACATCCTAAGGTTGGGATTATATTTATATTCCTCATACTATAATTGCTTAACGATCCTGTTCATAGCGTCATGTGTGATCGCCTGACAGCCCGGTAATTAGTAGATGTTGATAGAAATTGTGATAACTTGGATAGGTGCACGGTTTTCTTAATTCCTAACAAGTTTTACTACGTCCGTCTCAATTAAAACCTGTGGCTTTGTATGTTCATGGTGAGTGCATCGCGAGAAATAGTAACATACTTTGTGGCTTAATAGTTCGTGCAGTTATATTTCAGTCTTATTCATAGCTTCTCAATTTGCCCCACCTAAGAATTTCGGCCATCAATGTAATGGTCATAACTCAGAAAGTATTCCTACTAATTTAGTGCTTGCACATAGTAGTAACAGTTATTTTTTATGCTTATAAATCTAGTAGTAAATATCCGGTAAAGAAGTACACCTGCCCGATTCAGATTAAATGTCTTTCTTGTAAGCATGAAGAAAATACTACTCTAGGTAAGTGACCTATTACTTTACAACTCACCTTTATAGTTTTTGATTCATTGGATCTTACGTCTGAAATGAACAGTCCCATTAATTTGAGTCCTATTGCTTTGGATTGTGAAATGGTTGGGGTTGGACTCAAAATTCTAATGCTTTAGGACGCATTAGTATTGTTGACTATGAGGGAGAAGTTTTATGTGACGTCATAGTTAAACCTGAAGGAGAAATTTGTGATTATCGCACAAAATGGAGTGGAATACGTGAAGAAGATATGTCTCATGCAATACCTTATTCCTATGTTCGAGAGCGCGTTGAAAAAATCATACATGTAAGCACCTAGTTTTAAATATTAGCGATTGAAATGGTTATTGGTCAAACATTTTATTTGAGATATCAAATGTGACTATGTTGTATTGTAAGTCAATATTTGTGTTTATAGGCTCAAAAACCTAAGTAGTGCTTTAATCTATATTCACATATCAGTCTAATGTAAATTGTGTACAATTATTCAATTTAAATTTTATTTCAAATAAATGGTAATTATTGGACTCAATTCAACATCCGTCCTGTTTTTTCAGAATCGTATTGTAATAGGGCATATGCTGAAGAATGACTTCGCCGTATTAAATATGAAGCACCCTCCTCATTTGGTACGTGACACTTGTAGGGTTCCATATCCTAAGTTGCTTGCTGGTTTTTCCACGAAACCTCAAATTGGCCTAAGAGCCCTTACTCTCCGGCTTTTCGGTTAGTGATCATATATTTTGTTACATATTTTTAATAATTTCATAGAAATTTGTAACTCTCATATCATGGGTTTATTTTTCAGTCTTTCTGTCCTTTGAATAATAACTCATATGGAAAATCTACTAACTTGATATCGAACTGTTTACTTGGCAGCGTAATTTTCCTATTAAATTCCTAGCCCGATTAAGGACTTAATAATCATGAGATCAGAATAAAATAATTTCATAGTAAATATTACTTCTACCTTGGCTAGCATTACACTATATTACCTGTATTGATTTATTATGATAGCTTAAGGGTTATAAATCACACGTTTTTACTTGTCACTTAGTGGCTCAAACCCTGCTCCCATCAACCTCAGTTTGTGGAGCCGGATAGTTCGACTAACATTCACAGAAAGATGTGGGTTACTGTCGTGGGCATACATTAGTAATCGTTTAGTAATTTACAACGTTTAATCGGTTACAACGGCCGAAAAAGTAAAATTAACAGTTGAGACAAAATATATTTCATTGCATATATTTACGAGCAAGCTGAAGCATTGGGATCATAAAAAATAAACATTTCACAATTTATCTAATTCGAAATACGGAACGGAAATAATTTATTGAGAATAAAAGAGCAAGCTGACGTTAAAGATATAACGGTAAAGAAAAAATCCAAACAATTTGAGGATCAACACCAAAAAGCTGAGTCTAAGATTCTTAGAAATGCTATAAATAATTTAATGACAAAAATTTATTTATAAAATCTTAGAGATTGAATTTTAAGTAAACCCAGTGTTTCGCTCAGCAATCTAGTTCAAGCATCAAAATTATCGAATATAAATAGGTACGTGGTTCTCTGGTTAACTGTATACTAAACAAATCATCCAGTCATGTTAACAATGTTGAAAGTAAGAATTTGCTGTATTGAGTATGAGACATCTAATGTGTAAAGAGAAGCGTGTTTAGATAACAGATCGTATGTATGTGTAATTGGATCTGAGGCGAGAGAAATTTCGTCGGCTTTATATCGCCTCTGATCGGTGAATTTTTAATGAAAACATAATTTATAGATTATATGAGTCGAACATTACACACCATGCATTAAATGAAGATAAATAAATACAATAATAAATGTTTGTGTTACTATACTGATCAAGTTAATTGTTCATCATACATCCATATAAACCTTAACTTGGCTTCACCTACGCTTGTTATCCATAGGAGAGAGTCATATGCTATCGACCAGTATTCTCCAACCAATTCTGTTCTGGGAAATCCTTTCCAGTTGCTTCTAATTGCTATGCATTCTTTTGATATCTGCCTCCAATTCCCTGCACAATGTGTTCTTTGGTCCTCCTCTTTTCCTTTTGCCTTCAGGATTCCAAGTTAGCGCTTGCCTCGTGATGTAGTTTGATGATTTCCTCAATGTATGTTCTATACACCTACAGCGTATTTTCCTAATTTCCTCGTCATCTGGAAGCTGGTTCGTTCTCTTCCATAGCAGGCTGTTGCCGATGGTATCCGGTCAACGAACATTGAGTATCTTATGTCAACAATTGTTGATGGATACTTGTACCTTTTTGATGACGATTGTAGTTGTTCTCTAAGATTCAGCTCTGTATAATAGGACTGTCTTGACGTTCGTATTGGAGATTCTGACTTTGATATTGTTTGACAGCTGTTTTGAGTCCCATGTCTTCTTTAGTTATAGGAATACTGCCCTTGCGTTTCCAATTCTTGCGTTTACATCTACATCAAACCCCCCTTGTTTGCCGATGATATTACTCAGGTACGTGAACGTTTCCACCTCTTCCAGTGTTTCTCCATCAAATGTGATTTAGTTGGTTCTCACTGTGTTGTATTTGAATATCTTGGGTTTTCCCTTGTATATGTTGAGGTCTACTGATGCAGAGGCTTCTGCTACATTGGTTGTCTTAACATGCATTTGTTCCTGTGCATGGATAGAAGGGATCGATCATCTGCCAAGTCAACCCGTTCATTGTATTCTATGCTTCCCTTGAGAAGTGGAGGTCTTCATAATCCAGTCAACTACCAGAAGAAGGAGAAAGAGTGAAAGTAAACAGCCTTGTCTGACACCGGTCTTCACTTGAAATGCATCTGTGAGCTGTCCTCCATGCAAGACTTTACAGTATAGTCCATCATATAAATTCCGTATGATATTGACGATCTTCGCAGGTACATCACAGTGTCAAATAAGGTTCCATAAGGTTCTCCTATCCACGCTTTCAAACGCCTTATTGTCAATCAAGTTGGTGTATAGTGACGAGTTTCATTCAACTGATTGTTCGGCTATGAGTCATAATCTTTCGTTTTGGTCCATACACGACCTATACTTACTGAATCCGGCCTGTTAATCTCGAAGCTGGGCATCTACTGAATCCTTCATCTGGTTCAGCAACACTCTGGTGAAAAGTTTTCCTGACACCGATAGTAGTGTGATGCCTCTGTAGTTCTCACATTTGCTCAGATCTCCTTTCTTTGGTATATTGATGAGGTATCCTTCTTTCCCGTTCATTGGCACCCGTCCTTCCTCCTGAATTGAACGTGGAGCATCTTTGCAGTTACTTCTGTGTCTGACTTCAGCGTTTCCGCTGGTATATTGTCAGGTCCTTCTGCTTTCCCACTCTTGATTTGTCTAGTGGTCATCCTGATTTCTTCGATCGTTGGTGGAGTGACAGCTTCAGGGAGGTCTGTGTGTTCTGCTTCGATGTCCATTGGGCTCAGTGGGATTGGTCTATTCAAGAGTTCTTCAAAGTGTTCTATCCACTTGTTCCTCTCTCCTTGAATCTCAGCGACTGGCTTGTCATTTTTGTTCTTAACCTGTCTCTCTGGTTTACTATATTCCCCCACCAGTTTCTTCGTCATATCATATAGCTGTCTCATATTTCCTTCTCTTGCAGAATGTTCTGCCGTTGTTGCTAGTTCTTCCACGTATTTCTGCTTGTCAACTCTAATGCTTTTCTTCACTTGTTTGTTTGCTTCTGTATATTCAGCTTGTGTCTGAACTTCCTATGTTCTTGTTCGGCTGTTGTTAATTGCTGTCTTCTTGTTCTTCCTTTGAATCTTGTACAGGGTTTACTTGGAGATTCATTCCTTATGACGATGCTTCTTGCGGCCCGGCACCTCCTGACACGTTGACTTTGGTGCTTCTTTGGTCCGTTTCCAGTTGTCCTCCATCGTAGTTTCTGCTTCTTTTAGTATACCCTGTAAGGCTTGGGACCTGTTGTTGAGAGTTATCTTGAATTCGTTGAGTTTGTTAGTATCTCGATGAAAGGCTGTATTAAACTTTTGTAATTCTGTCTGTCCAACTGTTCAGTGCTTCTTGGTTCTCACGTCTTCCACTGTCCTTCGGAATTTTTTAGTGATGTCAATATGATCTATCTGGTTCCGTGTAGTGTGATCCAGTGAGACCCATGTGACTTTGCGTATGGGTTTGTGTGGAACTATTGTGCCGCCTATGGCCAATTTTTTGAATGTACATAGATTTGAAAATCTCTCGCCATTTTCGTTCCTTTTTCCTAGTCCATGTCGTTCCATGATATCTTCACAGTTGGTGTTGTCCATTCCTACCTTGGCATTTAGGCCTTCCAACAACATACTTTGGTTCTTTTCGTGGGCACTTCTCTACGATCGACTGCAGCCTCTTATTATACTGCTGTTTATCGTTTTCGTTGCTATTATTGGTAGGCGCATAACACTGGATGACATTTATTCTGATCTCCTCTTTTGTTTTGGAGGATGCTTTGATGATTCTAGACCCATGAGACTCCCATCCTGTTAGCGCTTTTCGTGTCTACCTAGACAGCATCAGTGAAACTCCTTCATGACTAGAGTACAACAGCACCTCTTCTGAAGCTAGTATTTTATGCCCAGCTTGTGTCCAATGGGTTTCACTGATCCCGAGCACCACAAAGTTGTATCTCATCTCCGTAGCTATTTCATTGGTTCTCATGGTCTTCCATATCGTTCGTACATTCTATATACCGACGTTAATTATAACGCCTCATGGTGAAAGTCGAGATTCTTCGGAAGTCACGAGGCCGACGTTACTTCTAACAACAATTATTGTTCTGGTTGAGGCGGTATATATAGTCAATGAAATTTCTCTCACCTCAGATCCAATTACACATACATACGATCTGTTATCTAAACACGCTTCTCTTTACACATTAGATGTCTCATACTCAATACAGCAAATTCTTACTTTCAACATTGTTAACATGACTGGATGATTTGTTTAGTATACAGTTAACCAGAGAACCACGTACCTATTTATATTCGATAATTTTGATGTTATCATAATGGGTTTTGTAGAAATTTTTTAGAAATTTCACAGGTTGAAATCACGATTCAATTGAAGCTAGACCACCATGGAAAACGTCGAAGCACAAATGGCCGTTTCATCCTATTGTGGGATTCACCAGCAATGAGCGTCCACGATTCCGCCTTGTGAGATTCGAATCCAGGACCTACCAGTTTCACGCGTGAACACTTCGCCTTTAGACCAATGAGCTGACCGGCATCTAACGGTGTTAATGTCTAACTTGAATGGGTAATATTGCCTAGAATAAGAGTATATTAAAGAAAATTGAAAAACAAACAAAATCAAGATGATTTCTATGACTGTTAACCTGAATGATGTATGACAAGATAATAATAGTAGTCAAGTTCATGATTAAAAAAACTACTGTGTCTCATCGATTAGTAGTTTACATAGAAAAAGAACAATGAACTAAATATTTAGTGTAATTTGTTACTAGTTAAATTCTTTAATTATAAAGTATAATTAACACTGTATTCAGTTGTTGTTTGTTTTTATTATCTTTTCAAAACAAACTATGGTTATCCAAATATTGACAAACACGTTTATACAAATAATATATTATTATTCAGTAATCAATAGTAGTAAGTAATCTTAAAAGAAAACAAGAAAATGTTTTTTTGTATACAACTATTTTTAGAAAATGGCTAGCAATGGAATCTAAGACGTACGTTTCAGCCTATTTGGGACTCGTCAGCTGAATGTACCTGCATCTTAGAGTTCATGTTCATTACGGTATTTGAACCCAGTACCGTTAGCCTCAAATACTATCGCTTTATCTACTTAACTAATGAGTCCAGATAATCATTAGCTTATGAAATGGGGCTGAAGTTTTAATTCATTTTTTTATTGGTTATTTTGATTCTTCTCATTAATATTAAAGATTGTCTTTGTTGTCAATCTCATATTGGTATATGTGTGTACATCTTTCATATTTATTTAATTTCAATAACTTTTTCATTAAACTGAGGTTGTCGTTTTTTTTCTTTCTTCCAAGAATGATCTATTTCATATTTTCTTACAACTACTTATTGATATAGGCATTAATATTCAAAATGCTGAACATTGTTCAATTGAAGATGCTCGTGCATCAATGGCAATTTATCGTTTAGTTCAAGATGTATGGGAAGCAGATTTACTTAAAACAAATAATAAACAATTTTTAAAGCATCATTCTAATGATCATTATAAATCCATATGTTATACCGATAATTGTCAAGAAGATATAACATCGTCATCATCATTATCATAGAAACTTTTGATAGTTTTTTTCTAATTTGTATATATTTCAAAAGAGTATCATATAAAATCAGTCAACCATATCAATGTTGAATAATATTTATAACATTTGTGTTAACATTAACGTATCCGAAAACAAATCCCTTCACTATTGAACCTATTTGATAAGAATATAAAACTATTTTGTTTGTTTGTTTGTTTTTTTTCTGATGGAATTCTTTCCACTTTATTTGTAACAAAATCATATCATACATTATGAATATAAACGTTTAGTAATAATCTTTTAATATAATATATATAATATATATATATATATATATTATATATATATATATATATATATATATATATATATATATATATATATATATATATATATATATATGGAACTCAGGGTCACATATGATACGTTCTTTAAGCCTTAACACTTCAGGCTGGGTTATTTCGTTTACTACCGTACATTTATGTTCTATGCAGTCTAAGCTATACTGCTATGTAGAGCTGAAGGTCTCAGATGAAACTGGAGGTTCGCCATTGATATTGTGGATGGTTCGGTATTGCTTTGGCAAGTTTTGCTGAATGTTCATGCAAAAAATTGGTTTGCTGGTTAGCCGATTTCATTCATAGTGGTGATTGATTTTCAGTGTTCTTAAGAGCCATTATAAGGCATGTCGCTATTGCTAATATTAATGAGTTTGACTGTCGTGTAAGCGGAATAGGTCAACTTTGACCTGTTCGTTCTGTGCATAATTGATTCATGCGATCATTGATCGGAACAATTATACATGTGAGGTAAATGTGTATATGAATGATCCACCAGGGTGTTTGGTACCTGTGTGGTTGCTCCACAGGATTGAGCTGTACTATTCAGATTGTAGCATTAAAGCACATATGGTATCTGGTTGTCTTGTGAAGCGGGATTAAGCCGTACTATTTGGGCTACAAATTTTAAGCCTGGGTAGTGTCTGGCTCTCCTGCAAGTGGGATTGAGCTGTACTGCTCGGGTTAATCCTCGGAGGTGTCTGGCTCTCCTGTTAAACGGGTTTAGGTTGTCACGCGAAAGTCTGGATGGTGTCCGGTCCTCCTAAAAACTAATGTAAAATTATCCTGACCCACAAGAGTATATTATGTAACTGTAAATATAATAATTTTTTAATATTTTCATTATTCTTGGTGTGTACTATTTAACCATCCAATTTCTCATTGCATAATTATGATTACCTTTTGGATTGATAAATTCCTAAATAAAACAATTAGATTAGACATTAACACCGTTAGATCCCGGCCAGCTCTGATCTAGTTGGTTAAGCGCATGGCGCGAGACTGATGGGTCCTGGGCTCGAACCCCGCGAGGCGGGGTCATGGGCGGGCACTGCTGATGAGTCCCACAACAGGGCAAAACGGCCGTCCAGTGCTTCTAGGTTTTCCATGGTGGTCTAGCTTCAATTGACTCATGATCTCAACTGTTGAAATTGCTGCAATTTCCACAAAACCCCCTCTGATACTAATTAGATTTTAACTGATAATTTCGAATAATTGTTTTCCCATTTGAATTTGATTATGGTAAATGTGGGAATCACACTTTTTAGTTTTTAGCATTCTGTAGTTAATTAAATCATAATGAATAATAGTTTCCTTTTTGTTAATGATTTGTTTATCTTTTGGGAATTATATACTACTTTAATAGTATACTATATTCAGGATGAGTGTTTTAATAGTTCGAATTTTGATCATTTTAAGTTGCATGTTTAGAAATCATACTATCTACTTTGTTTTATGCGGTTTATGTTGTGCTCATTAGCTTTCGTATGGAAAAAATGTTTGAATGGCTTAAGGGTTAGTACATATCATTAGTACTGATTTATGATTGATTAGATCATTTGTTCTTCAGTTTCATGATTCACATTGTTTGATTACAAATTCGTGTATTGAATTCATTGTCTTCATCATACATACTACAACAATGTAGGATGCATTAATAAACACTTCATCTTCTCCAGTGTATGATAATAACTGTATTAGTTTTCCTTAAAATATAGTTGTAATTTGAGAAAATGAAGACTTCAGAACTGTAATTATTGACACTTTGGTCATTTAAATATATGTTCTTGAAGAGATGGATGAATTAACTTTCACTTTAATAGTTTAGCTCGTATTTGTTGTATCCCGATAAGAATAACGGATGGTAACTGTTGGAATCTATTTCTGAACTAAAACTTCACATATATTTTTATCGCATAATTGTTAAGTAACTAAACTATTCATATTCATGTCCCTCTTATTATGAGCTTTATTTTGACCTATGAGTCAGTCAGCTACAACGTAGGACCAGGCACATATATGCATCGGTCCAATTTGCCATACCTCATTAGCACAGTAAGATGAACACCGGACTCATAGGAGTAGTTAAGTCAATGGTAGTAATATATAAAAGAAAGATTGCATATAAGGATATAGTACAGGAAGAAAGAATTAGTTGGTAGAAAGAAAGATATGAAGCGATTTTAATCTCTTAGTTTAAGGGAAGACAGACAGTATATACACCTACGCCATTGTGATCGATTCTGAGCCAAGTCTCCAACCATTGGTTACGATAGTCATGCGGACCCCAACCAAGTAGTCTCCATCTACCAACATGACTCAGACTAAAAGTTAGTGTCTTCAAGCACTGATGCCACGTTTTTGTTTGTCCGCCCCTAACTTGCTTCCAACCATCCCTAACATCGGTTAGCATTGCACAATTTACGATTCTTGAATTATGCTCTGTCTATCAATTACTATCTCCCTTATTCATCGCCACATTTTGCTAAATCTTGTACAAATGTTGTTACCTATTTTATTGGTATGATGTGGTCTGTTTGGTTGATATATAAACCCAGTATGTTTGGAATAAAGGATTCATATTACAGAGGCTGAGATTAGTTTTCTGGACTTAACTGGCTGGGCTAGACAGGTTTCGTGCTACTTGGCACTCGTCAGCAAGGTGTACCTGTAATCTTGAGGGAACTGGTGCTCCCTGGCGGATTTGATCTCGTGTCACCCAGCCTCACAGTCAGAGACGTTACCACTGAGCTATCCGAGCCGTGACTAACCTCCTGTAGGACTGAGATGTAATCACAATTGATTGATCACTGGGTGGTGATCAATGTCATGCTTGTCTAGTCCTTATTAGTGCAGATCGAATGCTATCGATCATGTTGCAATGTGGCCACCAGTCTAGGTGACTCGATAGCATTCGATCTGCACTAATAAGGACTAGACAAGCATGACATTGATCACCACCCAGTGATCAATCAATTGTGATAACAGTATTTCAAACAAACTGTTATGGAAGATAATTTTAGTATTTTAACAATAGAATTGTTTTGTTTTTAGAAAATATTGCTCTGATTCTATAGTTGATAAGGTGTGGCCGATTTCTAAATATTCGCTTTACTAAATTATTAGTAGAAGTCCTCGAGTGAATAAATCCCAGTGAGTACTAGAGTGTTTTTATTTTATTCAAATGACGCTTATATATATAAAGTTCTGGATATAAAAATAAACGTGATCAGAGGTCTTGTGAAATACAGGAGATTGAGTAATATGGGTTTCGTAGGTTACTCACTAGCCATTTACGTCAAAAAAACCTGATTCTCAGACTTTATTCTCGAGGCATATTACCAGTAAACGGTGTTGAGTCCCATACTTTGTGAGACGCATTGATTTCTCATCACTAAGTCACATCTTTCTCTTTGTTCTTTTTAATGTTGATTTCGCCCACTCTTTCTTTTCTTCTCCCACTTTGTTCTATAGTCTGAACTTAACAATTGTCTTACCCCGTTACTCAAGACTTCAATCACAAATGCACTTAAATATCCTTGAAAATGTATATACTCTATCTTCGTGACCCACCTTTAATTCATTCAAATAAACATAAAAGTCATTTATTACCCGTCACAGACTATAAATGTTTCAAATTAACTATGTGAAGTAGTTCTTAGTGAAATTTAATAGTCTTCAACTGATTACTATGTAACCATAAATTATTTACAATATTATGGTACACCGAAGAATTTATACAGGATTTGTTAAATTACAAAATGTGATATAACAAGCAGTGATCTAATTTATTTTTAGGGTTAAATAAATCTGTATCACTAGTCTTGTGTTCTCCTTACACATCGTTGGACTCGAGTTTCTGTACCAAGTACAAGCCAGTAAGCATTTCCACGGATATGACAGAATGCACAAAGTTTGTATGGTAGATCAAGTATGTGGATGGTTGAGATATAACTAGTAAGAAGACTGTTTACTTGGTCAAGTTTACCACCCACATATCCACTGCTTCGTTTATTATTACTATCCATAAAGTTGTAAATAGTGTTCACTCGGGAAATACTCAACCCGGTTTCCTTTCTCTATCCATTTTGACCTGGTAAACTGTTCAGCACTCATTGATAACTGAACCACTCTATCCAAACTTTCATAGGAAATGAATGGAACAACTATTAATATTAAAATAGCGGTGTTCTGTTTTTCACTAGCCATAAAATCTGAACATCGCGGACTTGTTAGTGTTGGGTTGTTGGATTTTATTAAAATTAAGAACCGAACTAAGTATGACAGTCTGAAAGCATGGGATCGGGTGCTTCATGTTAGTATGCGGCTCCTTTGTATTATTCACCCAAGACTCGAGCTCAGGACCGGTCTCACGTGTGTGGTTGTGGATGCTCACTGTCGATCAGTCCCATATTAAGACGAAACGGGTATCCAGTGCTCCCAGGTTGTTAGACTTAAGTTGGTTCATGATTTCAATAAAGTACTAAACTTATTTAACATCATTTTCGACCTTCTATTCCTTAAGTGTCAAAACTGATTAGTTCAGTCAATAATAATCCATCCTAATTATTAATTTTACACTGATTCATTTATTATGCATTGATAACTTAAAACACTCAATAAAGTTGATAAACAAGTCCATTTATCTCTTAAAATATACTTATTATGACATAAATCATAAATAGAATGTTAGGTATTTGTCAATAACTCTGATGTGTCAATCAAAATGGTTGATTAGAGACTGTATACAAGTTGGAAAAGTTTATAACTGATAGTTATACTGAACTGATCGTTCATTATTGTACAGTAAAGTTTCACACACCACCTTGGAAACTGTATTCGTCATTATTATAACTGTGTACAATTCATTAGCTACAATATAAACGTTTTTCTTGGTGACACTTAACTTTTCTGAAACTTGAATCCTAGATTCATAGGATATTGATATAACCTTCGTCCCGTGAAGATATGTAAATTAAGGTTGATCAGTTTAAATTTAAGTGACCAGTGTTTATTGTAGAATACGTAGTAAGGCTGCTTATTTCATCTGGTATCTCATAACTATATATTGTTTACGAAGAATATTCACTTCATAATTGTATTTTGAATATGTTAACAATACTGAACTGTCCTAAATGTCATACGAATGTTATATTTATGTCCATAACTTACTGTCATCAAATCGTTATTTATTCTAGTATATTTCTAGATAACAGCTAATCATGAGATTCAGCGAACGTTTTTTCTCTCTTTTATGACTTATCAGCCCAATATATTCACAACCCAATGTCAATATCCACGATGAAAATTGAGCCCACTTCTTATCTTCATTAAGCTAATGAGTTCAGGTAGGCGTCAACTAGTTTAATTTTTACGGTATTTATTATTAATAGTAAGAAATTATGTTTACTCGTTATTGATACCCTTCTCAAGAGACTAATTAAAAACAATTGGGCACAACTATGTTTAACCAGCCGAAGATGTTTGTGGTGCTGTAATCATAAAAACTTCTTTTACTAAAATAAACAAGTGTCTAAGTATTCTTTGAAGAAATTGACGTAGTTTATCCTGCATTTTACATATTCTTTGTCATCAAAGGCAACGCTTGGAATGAAATAAAACCAAATATGTATCTTTAAAATTCTAACACAAAGTTGGATTCATGGAAATCTATGTTAATAATTTGATACAAGAGATATTAGGATAATCGCAGCTCACCGAACCGTTTTGAAGGTTAATTTGACTTTTAATTTAGCTAAGTGAATTCTCACCGAGTTCTTAATCCTCACTACAAAAACTGTTTACTGTAAAATCTAACTATTATTCTTTGTAAGAACTTTAGTATGTTAAAACACCTAAAATGAAGTAGGATCGGCCTTTTTACAACCCCCACTCACGACGTTTTATGTCCGCAAAGCAGAGGAACAACATCAGGAAATGGATTTGTATTATGATTGGTAACTTTGTTTTATCAGCAATCTGTTTATCAAATCTGTCAATCTCTTACACAAAAAAACCCAGTGAGCAGTAGCTTTCTAGAATATGGTTACAAAACTACATCCACAGGAAAATATTCTTAATCCTACCGCGATGTTAGTGAGCTGTGACACAAAGTTCTAGTTTCAAAGCGCAATGTAGTCCCTTTCGAATACCATACGGCCAATCGTACAGAACGTTGAACCCAGTAAACATGTGCATCAATTTATGACCCCCTATTATTTCATCACATAGAGATATTATCTAGAAAAACTCAGAAATGACGGAAGCATAAACAGTGCCAGTGGTGATGGCAAACATTAGGCATAGACGATCTGGTCCAAGAACGAATTCGTGGGACAGAATAATTCTAAAACCGTAAGGAATACACAGATCGAATACATGTGAACCATCGCAACTAATCTTAAGCCATTTTACCTAGTCTCCAACCATTAATTCTGATAGTTGCAAGCACACCAACTGAACGATCTTTACCTAACAAAACGACTCAGTCCAGTAGCCAATGACCTCAAGGACTTCCCTCTAGGTTCGATCCATCCACCCAGTTAATTGGACAAGTATTTCATGATATTAGGCAAGCTTTTTGTATTTCAATCAAAATAAGCTGTTTTGGATAGTAATAGTACCTTTGATAAGACAGTGGGAAATACGATGTGTTTGCATCATGGAGAAACGTTCGGTATTCGCAAATTCAAACCCCCTTCATGTGTACATAAAAAAATTTCTCATAATCATGACTGCACACTGGTGATTGTCAAACCATTTTATGGCCTACAATGGTGTGACTGGCTTTTATTCCTACTATATTATGTTATTTTTCATCATTGTCTCTATTTGAACTTCCATTTAGTCAAGTTTAATAGTACGTAAATGGTTTGACAAATATATATTGAATGGTTTAAATCATGAGTCAATTGAAGTTAAACCACCATGGAAAACCTGGAAGTACTGGATGGCCGTTTCGTCCTAGTGTGGGACTCCTCGGCAGTGCGCATCCACGACCCCGCCCCCTGCGAGGTTCGAACCCAGGATACTTCAGTCTCACGGGCGAGCGCTTAACCCTTAGACCATTGAGCTGACCGGCATCCAACGGTGTTAATGTCTAAATTCAATCAATTGACTCATGATTTTAACTATTGAAATTACCAAAACCTCCACAAAATCCCTTCTGATAATAGGCATCTGCTCACTAGTGAGACTTCAAGGGGAATTTTCCTGGGGTTCTAGTGAGAAGCAGTGACCAGTGGAGTTCAACCAAGTCTGTTGTGAGACATCAGCTTACTGAAGACAATGGTGTACGGGAGAGCAATTTCGTGGATTGGTTGAAGTTAGACATTGACACCGTTGGATGCCGGCCAGCTCGCGCGTGAGACTGATAAGTCTTGGGTTCGAATCTCGCAGGGGGCGGGGTCGTGGATGCGCTGAGGAGTCCCACGCTAGGACGAAACGGCCATCCAGTGCTTCCAGGTTTTTCATGATGGTCTAGCTTCAACTGACTCATGATTTCAACTACTGAAATTACTAAAGTCTCCACAAAACCCCTTATGAAAATATATATTGGTCAGATTGTTCGAAATGTATGGTGTAAATACATCATATCATTCTGATCAACTCCAGTTTTTTTATTGCGCTCTATCAAAATTTATAAAAAGGGACTAATTGTTTTAAAGAAATAATAAAGTTATTAATAAGTTGAAAAATGACAAATGAGTGATTTCTTCTTATTATTATTAATAAAAAACACAACAACAAACGGAGCATTCCAATGAAATAAGTAATAAACTAGGATTATTACAACTTGACTAACCAAATGATGCAAAATAACACAATACAACTAGAATGAAGACATGAAAATGAGAGAGAAAAGGATGGAATAAAAATAAATTCTTTTATACATTATAAAATAAATGAAAAGAAAATACTCCAAGAAAGTTTAGTTCTGAATAAGTGGTAGGTTTTGCATACATGATGTTTTCGTTGTTAAGACATGTAGGGCCTACTTGTTTTATTGCACCGAGTTATATATATATATATATATATATATATATATATATATATATATATATATATATTGAGAGAGGAGGTAGGGAGGGGCTAAGTTTAGACTACAGATTGTAATAAAGGGTTTATTAATAATCAATTCTAATCGGTATCCTGATATCATCATCATCTTCATCTTCAAAATTGAAAGGTGTATAATTCACGGAGTCACCGGCTAACACTGAACGTTTTGGACTATTGTGAAATATTGCTTCTGGTGTATCAATCATATCACGACGTGGTACATTTTCAAATAATTCAGCACGATTTTGTTCTTCACCTTTCTTAACCCATTGACTATAAACATCATAGGCAAGTGTATCAATAATTTTACGCAATTTCTTATTTGAATATGGATCCATAGATAACTGATGGATATTTAAATAGGCAGCATCCACTTTTAAACGGCGTAGATAAAATATAAAACTGACAGCCAACATACCAGTCTATATAGTTGGTTAAAGGAAAAAGAGATAACAGTTTAGTGATCATTTATTATCCTGAATTAACTAATTAAAACAATTTAGAGATTGTAGTAATTACATTAAAAAAATTTCGGAGTATCAGAATCGAAAAAAACAAGGTTTGTTGAATGGCACCCAAATGCCCTGGTACGGCCGAGGTTAGGGAGAGTTAGTTCTCCCTCTCCAAATGCTCTCATATGCCCACACGCATACAGCCACTGAAAGTGAAGTCCTACTCACTGCCTTCTCGCGGCATTACTGTTATTTACGAAATCGAGAGCATGAAAAGCCAATGTCCGGCGCTTTAGCCGGGTTGGTGAACACGGAGAGTCCACCTAGAGGAGTCGGAAAACCCTGATTCCAGACTAATGGTACACATGGGTTCCAGGATCCTGAAGGAACAATAGGCGTATGAACCTATTGTTGGTCACCGGCTACCATGAGACTGCATCTGACATTGCTTCACTGCTTTGTGAATTAGACCTTCAGGTCGAAAGCTCCGGGTGTGGCTTCCTAAGAAAACCACCTGCTTCGGTTTGGGAACCCGGACAGGATTACAGTCCTTACACAAATCAATGATAACTGCTATTGGCTTCATTGTTATTGTGTGGCGCATATGTGTTTGGTGCTCCCTTGTACCAATCATCTTTATGTGTTCAAATAAATAAATTGTTGAGTGCAATGAATCTATATGTGTTTCTCATTGCATTCTCCTCAGTCACATATAGATAATTTTGACTGATACGGAATTTTAGTAAATACCAAAATAAAAAGGAAAGTGAGGGATAAATTACTCACTGAAGAATAAATGGTCTCGAAAACAAAATTGTCATGACTATTTACATATTTAAATCAAAACAGTGCTGAATGGGTTAGTTGCATACTCCATATAATCAGAAACTCAATACATTATCAGAAAATAAACCCAATTTGATTAAAAGCTGAGGTTTCACTAGCCCTTGTAGGCTAGTTAGTTGAAATCTCAGTAGTTTGGTGAGTAAAATACTAAACCTTGAATCAGTTGTTCTAAGGTTTGAACTCCATTTCACTCCACTCTACATACTTAAGTTTCGATAACTAGATAGTATTACTAGCCCTCGAAGTCTAAAGCAAGACTTAAATCGAATACATGCAAATCCACTTGGAAATTAGTAATATTAATGTTACTACACAAACCTACGCCACCTGTAGTATAGATCATGTTCCTCAGTTGATCGGAAAATGAATATACTAGATAGCAGATTTTTCCTCTGTAAGTTTACGGCTGTGAAAAGTCGATGTATTTTAAAAAATATTTGATTACAGGAATCGTCGAAGCATCCCCTTGAGGATGAAAAAACCACCAAACAAATTTTGTTAAGTTCAAAAGTAGTTTTAAACAAAAATGGTAAATCGACTGATAAGACTAAAGATCTTTAACTGAGACGACTGGAACACGTTAGATGTATCCTAATCACCATCTACAGTACAATCAAAGCCTGGCTAATATAGGAGTGGACTGGAAAAAGAACCGGGAGTGGCTAGACTTAAATACAAAACCAATCTATGAAGTCATTAAGCGAGGTGTATCAGGGACGTGAACTTTTCCTGACTGAAGTCTGACATACAATCGTAATTTGTTAGCAAAAGGCAAAATAGGATAATAAACACTTATTCTCAAGTCTCACCTTAAATTTCTGTCTAGCATTGAAGGCTGTCTTTCCAACTATAGGCTGAAACAAATATAAAATAAATGAGAAAATTACTAGTATATGCTTCAAATACAATTTTCTGAAGTAAATATGCATGCAATTAAAATATAGAAACAGTGGTTTGCCTAACATATTTTTGAAGAGGCTTTCTTCATTATTAATAACTTATTTACAAGGTACAAGCTCGTATATTTGGCCTTGAGCTACACTCCAGGTGTGAGAGTTAGTGATAATACTCGGTTGTGTAAACTGAACTAGGTGGAACGCAGTTTTAGTCTGTGAACACTCTGATCACTAAGCCACCAGCTGCATTAAAAAGTTTCACAAAGATAAACAAGGAAAAAGCAAAAAAAACAGTAGATATGAATTGTATCTGTAAATATCGAAACGAGTTTAAGTATGAAATAATTTTAATGATCACCTTTAAAGTTTGATCGAAAATTTTAGTTTAGGGATTGGTTAATTTTGGGGTGATTTCTACATATACATATATATATTAGACTTTTAAGCTGATCATTAGAATGTCTTACAAATGACGAATATTAGTTGAAATGCTTTTTAAAGTTTGGGAGTGCATACTACTTGTAAGTTGAAAATGAGCATAAAACCACTATTCAACACTTATAAGGTTTTATATAAGTGCTTTGACTAGCGACAATTTTAGTGACAACCATTGAGAAAAGATCCAACTTCGTTGCAAAATATAAAAAGCATAAGAATGAGTCTTAATATTTTAAAATGAGTATTGAATAGAATAACCACCAAATTCTTACTTTCACTAATGCAAGGTTTGTAGCGGATAAATGTCCCATACATATTTCAATCACTTCTGTCGATAAGGGTTTACGGTTTTACTAACAGACTTATGCTTGATATCAGCGTTACTACTTAAGTGATCCAACTGCATGCAAACAATATATGGGAGGAACTTAAGACTAAATGTTGACAGCCCATACATACCATTCTAAAGGAATTAACAATCATAAAATCAAAGTGTTAACAAATTTCTGTTCATGAAATAATTACGTAGCAAATTATTAATGTTAAATATTCGACGGATAAATATACTAAAAATTTAAAAACCAAAATGCTGAATGAACATACTTGTTGTAGGAAGAATGCATGATTCAATGAATCTAAAGCTGTCAACCTTACGCTGGAATCCACAACTAGAATTTACATATCTATTTGTAAAAACAATAAATACGGAAAAATATATAAAAATGAAAGTAAGTAATGTTAATCGAAAATGTCAACAGCAAATATTATGTATAGTGTTAAGTATACGTATAAAGAGGATAGTGGAATGTTCTTTATTACGTATATATACTTCTAATATTTAAGATTTCTTCAACAAAAAATAATAGCTCAGACACTCAATTATTAGGTTAGATGTTTGAATTTATGCTCAGCCTAGTGAGATCAAGGTTGTAACATTTAATCATAAACAATGAAGAATTTGACCCAAACGTTTATCGGTTCAACACTTTACACAACATAAAGGTAGTGGGATTAAACTAACGGAATGAACAGGAAAGATGAAATAACAGAAGTGTTAATGGTAATAAGGAAAGAACAAGATTATGGTTTATCAATAAATAAATAAATATGAATTGATATTGAAACTCGAGAGATAAAGAATCAATGAGTTTGTGCAATTGTAACTGATTTCAAGACATTTGACCCAATGTCTTCAACCACTGATCAAGACCATCGAGTAGACCCCAGACAATCAGTCTGCACTTACCAATACACCTAAGGTCAACAGGCAATGACCTCCTGGACTGGTGCCACATTTTCATTTGGCCGCCCGTAGCTTTCTCACAACATTATATTGCAGTCAGAACTGTATTGAGGAACGAGGCAGATAGATACGCGTGTAACGGTACGTGCATTATTTAGAGTTTTAAGCAGTAGCTCCATTTCTTTCTTTCTTGGTTTACTATTTGAATTGAGTTCGTGATGAAAATGACTCTCAAATTATAAGAAATCATCAAGAAACTACTTGATTTATTATTCAAGTTAATAAACAACGCGGTTGCTCAAGATACAGCAGATAAAACGAGACTTGAACATGCAGTTTATTGCTTAAAAACTCAGTGTTTTCTGACTAACTATGTGCATCTATTAAAAGACAATGTTCGAATCCAACGAAATATTCTAAATAGTGGGAAAAGAATGTCACTTTTGTGTAAAATATATAGGATTTTAATGTAGTTTTTTCTAATAAGGCTACAAATTGGAGGTAACATATATTTGTACTTACAAGAATGAGCTAAAGCAAACTTAACTCACGTAAAAAAACTGGTGAAAATGTACTAAGCACAATACTAAATTGCATTTCAATAACTTGTACTCCACTAACCAGGCCATTTACGATATCTTCAGTGAATATGACGTTTGTACATAACAAATAAAGGAAGCAGACATTTATAGAGCAACTCACTAGATCCTTTGCAGATTCGCTGATATCATCCCATTCTGGACTAGGAAAAGAGAAACGGCCTTCCATAATCTGGCGCAGCATCAAATGTTCTTTACGATTCCAAAAAGGGGGACAACCTGCTAACAGAGTATACATAATCACACCACATGCCCAAATGTCTACAGGTTGACCATAAGGAGGTTGATCTTCATAGTAACCACACATCAGGACCTCTGGCGCCAAGTAACCTGGTGTTCCCCGAGTTTCTAACAGGTAAAAATTTATTTAAAATTAAACGGTGACGCCGTATTGCCAACGAGAAGCACTTAGGACTTCGTAACCATACAGCCATAAAATCCAGATACACATACGATTTTGACAGTGCATTCGAATTTTATTGAGTTAGACCGAGAATTAGGCAAGTTAACGACAAATATCTACTGTTCGGAAAATTATTTAGGAAACGTATAAGCAGATTAAAATGAAGAGAGAACAAGGTGGAAAATGTTGCTTGTTATTTGACCTAGCTAACTGATAGATGTATATCTGCAAACATTTTCTGTGGTTCAAGTCTGTAAAACCGAATACTAAAAAGAGAGACCTAAGTGAAAGAATTAATTGGTATTGGAAACTGCTTAATTAGTGATATATGTACGTTCAATGAGTTTTCAATCAGGAGCCTCAAATGTTGGCAATAAGAATGATGTAAACACTTAGGCTGTAAAGATATCTACCAATGAGTGAACAAGTGGATGAGCTTTGTAGCACTCGAAGCGTAACTCAAATTTACAGTACTTATAATCAAATTGTTGGTTACAGAACAACGATTCATTTCTTTAAAACTAATTTAGATAGTTTTGTGTAGATTTCAAATAAACTGATTTCTTCAGGTACCGACGTTAGCTACAGGACCGTCGAAAACCAGAATGAAAAGCAGTTGTCTCGTAGTAATTTCAGTCTCTTCCACTGCCTGTTTTGACGGCCTTATATGGGACCAAACTTATGACTTTCCGGTCACAATGCTATTCATCTATGAAGCGTGAAACCGAAACTCCGCGTTCAGCCAATAAGGTATAGAAACCTGGTGGGTGGATATGTATTATGTTTTACGTTACGCATGACTGACTGCCCGGTTTAAACCGAGCCCAAGACGTTACCGCTGAGTTACTCAGATGATACTGTAATTTGAAAAGATAAATCGGCCAGCTTCAAGGAATTGGTAAGGATTATGTCGAGTTTAGGTTAGTAAAGACATCACTCAGACTTGGTGCTGAGTTTGAACCGTACAAAAGAAGTCAGTTTGCTTGGAGCTTTAAGTTAGCATTCTAACGAGTGCCAGTTAGTTTTAAACTGGGTCAAGAAATTCTCGGTATCCCAAATGATCTAACAAATGTCTACCTTGAATGTTGTGGGATTGAGAGTATTTGAGCATATGCTCGATCGAAATCCAAGAGGGAGATAAGATGGCTTTCTGGAGTCATGTCTTGTATAGAATGATAGAGAACGGCAAAACGACTTGCCTCGATAAGATTGTATCGTCAGTCAGTCAAATCCAAAGTAGAACCTCACATATATGTACATTGGCTCAAACTGTACCGAAGCACTGCTAAAACGACAAATAACTGCACTTAACAAACAAATATACCACACGTCAATTGTGGTCAAACATAAAAACCTTGAGTAAACTAACATGAATTTATTCTTCTAGTTAAGGTTTAACACTATGAGACTGCCTAAACTTAAGTAGGTAAGGCGTAGTCTTGAAATGAACCTATGAAGGCTGGTTGTTTAACGCAATGGAATAAGGATCAACTACAGTAGACTGAACTAGTTATTTTGAGAGTATGAGGCACTTTTATCCAGATTACATGACGGTTAGCAGAAAGTAGTAAGATTTGCGAACTAGCTTTGTTGAATATATATATATATATATATATATATATATATATATATAATGTCCCTGAAGTGTACACGAATATAATCATTAAGGCCAGAAGTTAACAACTCGAAAAAATTTTTGTAGTCTTGACTCAATAGCAACTTTCAACGAGGTAAAAAGTACCTTTGAGCTCTTCTTCATCGTCAACAAATACAGCCAACCCGAAGTCCGTAACTTTTATGTTAAGATTTTCATCAAGAAGAATGTTTTCCGGCTTGAGATCTCGATGGACGATTTGACGGTCATGGATAAAATTAACAGCATCAAACAGCTGCCGCATGATTGCACGAGTACGTTTTTCGGAAATAATGACGTTGTGAGTAAGATAGTCGAAAAGTTCACCACCTTGACAACTAAAGACATGAAAGTGAAAGCTGAAACTTACATTTCTGAGACCAGAAATATGTATGCATCCCCCTCGAAAACATCATGAATTCTTATGATATTGGGGTGGTCGACTACTTTTCTAAGAATCGTCACCTCTCGCATACATTCTGAACGTATAACTTCTGAGGTGTCGACACCACTATTAAGATCCAAAATTTTAACAGCGAATTCGGCTTTAGAGTCTTTTTCTATGCAACGTCGCACAGTACTACTGGCTCCAGAACCCAAGACACCCCGAACTTCATATTTCAAATAAAAGGAATCCGCTAAACGGAGATCAGCAACGACACCATCCCTCTCCGAGCAGGTTATTGTCATGTCACTTCCGCTGGCCCGAAGTACGACCGAACCGCGGCAAACGAAAGACCGCCAACGAATACGGCTTCATAAAATTCGAAAGAATATTTTACTAAGGGAAAATTACATAACATCATTACATTTTCAAAGTATTGATGGAGTCTTGTCAAAAATATTCAGAATGTTTTGATGAGCAGTGTTAAAGTTGACAAAGTTTTTGATTATTTCGTCCTTGAAGCTATGAGTGAGGCGCAGAATTTGAGGGAGAATTTGACGTTCTCCGAAAAACATCTGCCTCTTCCAATTTGAAGTCATGTGTTGATCGTTTCTATATAGCATTCTTCAACAGACAAAAGACCACCTCTTACAGATTATGTTGTATAAAAAATTTACGACTCGGATATAATATTCTTCACCTTCAGCTCCCACTTAGAAATTACAGCGTTGGTCGTTATCCGAATATTCATTATTAATAATAGACAGCCCTCCAAGATCAGTGTCAAGATACCAAAGATATTCAGAGTTTGACAACGCCTTTATGCATAATACCTAAATAATCGAGGGATACCGACCCAGTAAAATCACAAGTCAGTAATGAAAAAGTGGGAAGAAGTATTCAGACAGTTATCGATATGCCAAGGAACGTTTGATCTCAGCTGGATAGTAGCTGCGAGGCATGCATAACTCGACGTACCCACTTGTGGTGTGTTGCGGACACGTGACCGAGCGCTGTCAGCTAGGGTGAGTCCAATGAGACTTATGAGGTCAGTATCAATGCTGAACACTTACAGAACTATTTATCCTGGAATTTATTTACCGCTCTAAGTGACGATATAAGTGCTGATGCTGGTGCCGAACACATCAGTCCCGACAGTCATCGGTAGCTGCATGTATGTAGTATTAGTTCTAACAACACAATCCTCAAAGCCGAACATAAGATAACTGGGAAAATGCATGTTCAACAATTAGCCCGAAGGGTAGGTCAATAATCGAGAAGGAGGTAAGAATTCACACAAGATTCAACTGGATGGCATGGCTCAGCCCCGCAGACGTGGTCATTCTGCATAACTTGTCCTCCAATAAATATATTGCTCTATCTCTGGCCTGAAGGTGTTCTTTAGAAACCTCAGACATGTTGGTAATTGTTACGATACGATTAGTTAGTTTAGACAAAGATGTGATGTCCACGTGAGATTTTATAGATCAGGCAGTCACATCATGAAAAATCTACAATTTTAGGATTAGATCCATTATTAGAGCAGTGCTAATGACGAAGTAGACCCTAGTTCTACAGGGCCATAATATTTGACACTAGACTGTTTGTCGGTCACGATCATGGAGTCAGTAAGAAACAGTGAGGATTACACACATATTATCAAAAGAATCAGGTAAGCACAATCTGTTATTCAGCTTGACACCCCTAGAGTCTTATCTTAACCCCAACACGTCGCCACATACATACAAAACATTCGGTATTGAAAAAGTCTCTTACCCGGTGTCTATGTGTGTGTGAGAGAGGGAGAGAGTTAAGGAAAAGCCTGAAGACGGCACAAGTATTCAGTGTTTGACAACGCTTTTACCAGTAACACCTTATATAACTCGTACCCAAGTGAAATCAAAAGACAGAATCGACGAGGCCGTTAAACATTCGTAGTTGCTTAATCCTGGTCGGTTCTCAGTAATCCAGAATTGCCGCCACTTTGGTCCTAAGGGTCGAATGCCTTGAGCATCTATAGTGTGTCCTAGGAAATCTAATGAGTCAGTTCCGATTTGACATTTCTGAATGTTTACAGCAGTGCCATGTTTTTGTTGTCGGTCGAAAACAAGATCCAGATGCTTGAGATGTGATTCTCTGTTCGGACTTGCGATTAAGTCGTCCACATACGCATTTACGAAGTTGAGACCTCGGAAAACGTCGTCTATGAATCTTTGGAATGTTTGAGCAGCATTTCTTAGATCGAAAGGCATTCGCAAAAATTCATAGAGTCCGAAGGAAGTAGTGATGGCGGTTTTCGGTATGTCGTCAGTAGCCATAGGGATTTGGTTATACGCTTTAACCAAGTCGATTTTCGAAAAAACAGTTGTACCTTTCAAGGTAGCTGTCAAATCGTGAATGTGAGGCAACGAGTAACGATCGGGAATGGTTTTTGCGTTCAATCGCCGATAGTCACCAGTTGGACGCCAATCGTTGCTGTCCTTTTTAGGGACCATGTGCAACGGAGATGCATATGGGCTACTTGACGGTCGTATGATTCCTAAGTCTATCATGTGATCGAACACGTTTTTCGCTAACCTTAGCTTTTCAGGAGCTAGTCGTCGTGCTTTAGAGAATACAGGTGGTCCTGTAGTCGTGATGTGATGTGTAACGTTGCTGGTTACACACGGTAGTTTCGGTTGAGTTTGTTGTATCCCAGGGTACTTATCGAGTAGTGGTTGATAGAGTGGGTCTATCGTATGCTTAACTATGACTGGGGATAATCTGCAACCAGAAAAAGAAGTTACGCAAACGGACAAATTAGTGTTTCCGTCTACTAGCCTCCGTTTGCGCGTATCGATGATCAGATCATGGTGTTGTAGAAGGTCCATACCAATGATTGGCATAGAAACATCTGCAACAACGGAGATCTAGTGAATGGGTTTGTGTAAACCCACGTTAGGGTAAACGTACCTTTTGCCATACGTAGCGAAAGGTTTTCCGTTTGCCGCCTGTAAGTTTAGAACCGATTCGTGAAGCCGGTCGTTGGGATTCGCTGGGAGAACGCTAACTTCTGCGCCAGTATCGACGAGGTAGCGAACTCTCGTTGTCACATCTGTGACGTACAACAGACGGCTATGTTCGCCGGCTACGGTTGCCGTTAACGCGTGCCGGCTTGGAAGTTTCCCGAGTTGTTTTTCGAGTCACTCGGTTTCGTGTTGGGAAAATTGCAGGGTTTTCTGCAATTTCTGGAAAACTTTCCATACTGGTTATGATACCAGCACCAGTCGGGGTTATCTGTCTCTCGTGGTCTAGAGACAGATCGCTTACGTGAAGTGCTTCTACGTGGGGTGTCTGATCGCTTACGGTCGTTACAAAAATTAAGATAACGTGTAAGTGTATGACATAACTCGGTTATGCCATTCTGAGTCGTTTGAGGCTTTTTTTGACGTAAAAACCTCGGTAGGAGATCTCGTAATTTCTAAAATGCGATCGGCAGATGCAGCCAGTTCGTCTAAGGCGTTGTTCTGAAACGAGACCAGAACCGCTTGCACCTGTTGGAGAAGTTGGGACAAGGAAAGTTGTTTGAATAGGCCTTCGTCGAAAGTTCTTAGTCCTATAACCTCTCTCATCCTTTGCAACATGCCCGTCGCAGAACCGTGTTGCAGGTCTATGTTATTAAAGAGTTGGTCTAACATTTGTCAATCGGTCAGGTCTCCTCGTTTAAGGATGGAACGCTTTAATTTTCGTACGGTTCAGAAACATCGCTAGCAAACATACTAGGTGTTACGTACCTGTTGAATTCCCGCGGTAGTGCCTTGACTACTGAGAGGAACTGTGCACGTGTGTCGTTCACGCCGTGCTCGTGGAAGTCGGCTTCTGCGTAGCAGTACCAGGCTTCGATATTGTCGGGCCAGAAGGGCATGAGCTGGAACGAGGGTGGGAACATAGTCTTAACCTTAAATACCTTGGTGGTCTGTTCAGCCATAGGGCAAAATTAAGCACTAGAATACACGAGTGAAAAATATATAGATATCCCGAAAACGCGGGGTAAAAATATCACAATGTATAAAAAATTAAAATAAAGCAATGATATATAGAATCCCAAAATGGAACAGACTCACAGTTTACGACTTGGTGTACCAGATCACGTTAGGCTCACCAATGAAGACGGCACAGATATTCAGTGTTTGACAACGCTTTTACCAGTAACACCTTCTTATATAACTCGTACCCACCAAGAGAAATCAAAAGACAGAATCGAGGAGATCAGAAGTTGTATTTGACGATTCCCAATATATCGGAATTATCTGACCTAATCTGGCTAGCGATTGCAATAGTAGTTGAGCACGATGTTCCCACACGTGATCTGGTGCGGATGCATGACCGAGCGCCTTCAGCTAGGTGAGTCCATTAAAACTAATCTGGTTAGCATCCAATGTCGAAAACTTACAGATCTATTTATTTTGGGGATTTATTTACCGCTACAAGGCAAAACACGTTTACTTAAATCTTCGTCTTAGCACTCCTCTTCAAAAAGGACGCAAAAACGATTTCAAAACAGTGGTAGGTCTAGGTGGTTTTTGACCCTACCTCCTCGGTTATCTTATTTTTTGTATGTGGACGTAGTATTCGTTTATGCTATTTAGCATGTTACGAAATCAGTCTACCCTCTCAACAATCCAACGGGAAATACAAATCACGGCGTACATAAGACCGGTGTTAAGTCATAAAAAAATCCAAGATCTTTGATTGGGGTGAGTGGTATACAGGCTACTCCTGTGGAGCTGAGATCTTGGATTCGCACCCCTGAAAAGTCAGACACTTCAACGTAAAAAAGTACCACATATTCTTCAGTTTCTTTTTAAGTCATGTCAACCCTTAATTAAAACCACGACAATCGAACAAATTTTACAACTGCTTTATATTACCAATAATAAGTATTGAAATGAGGATGGATAACCTCGTTTCTTCGGAACGGTGACCTTGGTGCGTTACGTAAATTCGTTTTGTGTCTCTTTTGTACAATCGGTTCGTGTAGACTGATTTACTTGTCTTAGAGTAAGAATTTCACATCTGATTGATTTTTACTATTCTTTAAGTTGTGAAATCTCAATCACTCAATGCAGTTAATGAAAACATTAACACTTGGATGATGACTTAACACCTAATGTCCTCTATTTATTATATGAGCTTGAATTATGTTAGAGGGCTTTGGTCCAGTTACTCCATAATTTGTTAGACTCCAATGAGTTCCGCGTAGACAAGTGCGTTTTCGGTTCATAATCAAAATACTAAAAGATTCTTACCAGTTTTTGCGTATGATTTGTCTCTCGAATAGATCAACTATGGTAATAATCCATCCGATAGTTGGCCAGCCAGTGAGAAAATCTGTGTGCCAGAAGGTATGCAACTGATAGATTTTTCTGTATTTTAATCAAAGTCTAGTTAAGGAAAACAGTTTAACTCGAGTTGAAATATATTTCTTGGAATCCGTTACCAAAATTCAAATCGTTCATTTTTTATCAACCCGAGCATCTCGTCAGTCTTGCTCATAACAATCTTTTGGGCCCGTAATTTTTCAGTTATTAAGTAAGGGCTTGAAACGTTTTAACCCCAGAAATTATGTGTAAACAGCAGTATGGTTCGGAAAGAAGTGATGAATTCGGAAAGTTAAAAGTACGAAATAGTATTGCAATTCAAAATCGAGCAATACATAAGGTTTCAGTACATCTGCGTCATCACACGCAAGGTCGTTAGCCTCTGATCACGGTTATAGTGCGAATACAACGTGATTGTCTGCACTTTCAGGCTGTGGTTTGCCACAATTCTCAGGTTGTTGTGAGCGGAAACTGAGACCTATCTTGATTGTTCACCACATATTTGATAAGTAGTGATGATTGTTGATTTTCCTTCATTATGTTTATAAAACATGACTGCCTAAATAATTTTATTTCGTTGGAAGATAAAACGGTTTGTTTACTATTTATGGGCAATGCTGCATGTTGACTCAGGTTGTATTAGTGCGAATATAGAGAATTTACGTTCAAGATATTTTGAAACTTATATTTTAGGGAGGTGACTTACTGACAGCTATTAGTGCAGAACACATTTGGCAGTTTTACAGCCTGGTTTTCTTATTTTTGACAAGTTTTCGGACTTCATTTTTGTTGAAGTGGTGTTTCAACTCTTTTGTCTTGCAATCTTCAGGGTCAGAGTTTGTGATTCAGTACATGGATCCTTTTCAAAAGCGAGATAAAATTCCACGGACACCACCTGGTCAGTCTTTTGTGGACAGATCTTACATCTTTGATGGTACAACAAATGGTGACTGTTCTATTTACGACGAGTCGGGTAATCGGAGGACTTCTGTTTTTGATACAGCTAGAAAATACACTCTCACTTTTGATAACTATGGGAACACAAGGTAGGTTTTTCAACGTTATGAATAACTGACTGACTGACTTTCTCCCTAATTATGATATTTATTCCTGATGATAATAAGTTTTTTAGTTGTATTTACTGTCTTAACCTTTTACTACTTGTCTTTCTCACCTTATAACTTAGCCTTCGAACTTCATGTGACATAGTTTCACTCGATATTTCTTTGTCACTGAAACCAAATAGAATTTCTAGAATCGGTGATTTGCGGACAAGTTCACATATGGCATCCTCTAGACAGTATGGATTGTTCACATCATCACCTGTTAATGAGTCTACTCCCCGTCCAACTAAATATCCCCAGGTGTGTGTTTTCTTTTATCGTGGTTCTTATATAATGTTTGTATTTAACCTTAAATCCAACGGTTTATGGGTCTTTGAAACTAATAGAAACTTAATTGCAAAGTACAAAAAACGGAAACCTAAGAGAACATGTTCAGATTGTACTAAGTGCTTCATACTTAAATGAAAGTATGAAAAAGAATAGTAAACAATGTAAATTAGCCATGCAGATCATTTTTAATCATTTCTTTGTGAAAATTCATTTTAGAAGGAATGTAATGAACAAACAGTTGCTAATTACACATCTCTAGATAAGGAGAATATTTCACCATCCAAAGAAGTATGTCCAGAGATTGCTACGGTTAAAAAGTGTCATGCCAAGAGAAAACGTGAAATTTCACCTGATAGTTCAGTCGTTAATTCATCGGTTCAATCAACTTTTGCCGTTCCTTCGACAGTTCGGCAGCTTCGACCCAGACGCAAGGCAACTCCTGTCGTCAGTGACCAGTCATTGTCTCATCAGTCTGAATGTTTAGTGGTGACGAAAAGTGCCCAAAAGAATCCAAATATGAGGTCAACAAAAAGGTAAGATTTTGTATAACATGATCGTCACAAAGTCCCATAAAAATGTAAGTGATGTCTGCACAAATTTAGAAGAAAGAACTAGGTAAGGGTGTCTAAGGCAAAAGTGAAGTAAGTCCATGAAACCATTGGCTATTGAACTAAGCTATGCATATAGGTACATACTACCTAGTTGGCTCCATGCGATTATTGTGACCAAGGGTTAGAGACTGAGTGACTTGACTCAAAATCGTTCAAAATGGTCCTCATGTAGGTTCCAAGTCTTAATTATTCACTGCACGAATCCATATTTTCTTTTCGAACGATATCTTGGATGATTCATCTTTGTCACCTCTGTTAATGCTATTTCCGCACATACCATTGTCACATCTGGTTATGCTGTTGTGGTGTGCAAACTTGAACCGACGCACACATGTCCTATGTTATGTTCAGCTAATTCATTCACCCTACATGTAAAATTTATTCTGTAAAGCTTATCATAAATACAACTGATCTGATTAAAGTAAAATAATTTGATATATTTGATCCGTTTAAGCAAACGAACTAATTCGTCTCATCTGTCTGAAGTAATGAATTCCCCAGTAGTCATTGCCGATCCTGCAACCCCTCCAACACTTGTTCCTCGACACAGGCGATTACAGCCAGCCAATACTCAGAGAAGACGACGTGCGAATGTTAGCACTTCATCTACTTTGGATCACAGCAAAATGTCAACCTCTAATTCAACTGAAAATGACTCAACTATTCATCAACCATCTACTGTTCGGGTATGTTGGTACCTTTTTAAAAAAAACTATTTCTTTTTGCATATCGTACTTTAAGTTCCAGTCAGTCGGAGGTTGATTATGAATACAGTGGTCTTGAGTGCTGTTAGAGGTATGAGGGCGGTTATCACTTCCCGGTTTCCCACACCGTGAAAGGGTTGTTCTGGAGGTACCTGAAAAGGAAATTGGATTAGAGGTGGTTTTAGTGACCTGGGAGTGTGACCGCAGTGCCCAAGGGACAACTGCTTGAGGCCGGTCGCGCACGGCCTTTTCGTGAGAGGTTTGTGACGTGTTAGCTCCGTTCTTCAAAGGGCCTTACCGCCGGAGACGGATATCCGTGGGATAAGGCGAGGTGTGCGTTTTTAGGGTCGACCTTTTCTGACCCCGCCCCTCCTTGTGGGAAGGCAGCATCGCTGTCATGCTGGTTGTCTGAAGGAAACACCTTACTGCTGTCGCACCTCTGTACAGTCAGCAGTACGACTTCGCCTTCGGACCTTGGGTTTGTTGCTTTTAGTCTTACCGCTCTTCAACCGACCTGTCTGACATGGTAGGACCTTGAGGAACGGTTGTTCCAGCCAGTATAGCTCAGTTGCTTCATCACGATAGGCAAGCCTGACCACCACGTCAAGGTAACAACAACGGTCGGGAATTTAAGCTTCAGTATTGGTCAGATAGAATAAAAATTAGTCACATCTTAAAGATTGTTTTGTAGTGATCCAGTAGTGTGAGTCGGTTTTGAAGTACGCTGAAGTGATTTCAAATGGTCACATCTCAAAATTTAAACATCTTGTTTATTTTATATTCTAGGCTGGTATTGTTTGTAGAGAACGTTTCAACGGCTTTATTTTCAGTGCAGTCTTGTAAAAGCACTTGCGGTATATTCAGGTCGGATAAACCAGCCAAGGCCATTCCCATAACCGATTGTTCCCGCTGTTCAAACTTTGGTTTAGGAAATCACATGTCACAGTTATCAAACGAGTCAGCAATCTGCTATGCAATATATTCATGCTCAGAGAAAATTTATAGATTACCAGTATTTCGTCGTATGTGAAACATTCTCGAGTATGTTAGAACATTCTAGTGAGCACTAATCAAGTTAGACGCAGGGTAATAAGCGATTCCATTGGTGTAGTTGTGAATCGTCATCGACTGAGGTTGTTGGGACATGCGTTACTCATACCCGATCATCGTCTGTCTCAATGTAATATCGGTTGATGTAGTAATAGGTTGGAGAAAAATTGGACCGGTCAAATCAAAACGTGACGTCAGTCCACAAAATAATTGACTATTGTTCTAATCCTGGTTGAGTCCACCCGATTACCACGATTAACAATTAAGGACATGGAGTGATGTAGCTCAAAATCGGTTTGCATAGTGAAAATGGATTCAGTTTTCGCCTGTCTATTGGTTCTGGTTTTTAGAGTTTTCTTATACTTTTTACCTCGCTAATTCATAGCTAAAATGATAAAGCAGTCGTACTATAGTGAGGGGTATTAATCATATAAATGTGCGTGGCCATGTGATAGCATTTGAAGAGGGAGAGTGGACCCTCTTTTTGAATAACCGGTTGTTTAAATACTGCACTATTTTATATTTTCTGATTTATTTTTAGAAAAAACCAAGGTACAAGTCGCTTATAATATGTGAGTCTTACCACATGCCGATTTATAATCATAAATTAATTGGTGCATCTATATGTATTGATTGCATTTATTTTCATGGTAGTTTCTTTGATGAAGTGATATAATTCGAAGAAATCACTAAAAACTGGAGTTGTCATGCAACTACTCAGTCCCTTTATTAATTCTAATGTGTTCTGTTTTGAATCCCACAAGTCCAAATTCAGTACCGCCATATTTTCGAAAATAACATGTGTATTAATCATCGTATTATATTCTAAGATTTATTCGGTGTATCCATTTAGCAATCGGAACCTTCATATTAATATGAAAAAACCCAAAGGTTCCTAGTTCTCTGCATAGGGTTTGATTGATGATCGTTGCTGTGATGCTACAGACTAGGATTAAACTTATATTTCTTCATTAATGGACGGACTATCATGTTTATCTCGCATCTTTAAAAGGTAAATTTCTGTACGTGTTCTCACTTATTTAATACATACAAAATCTGGTACAAATGGGCATCAAAAACAGCATACACCACATAACACACAGATATAACATTTCAAAGAAGAAAGGAAAGAAAGAGAATACAATCAGGATAAAAAACACTAGTGATACTACCCCTAACTGTCCAGATCGAAGTAGGTATTTGCGGTGAATGTTATAAGCTTCGACTCAAAGCTATCCAATGGTGTTTTAACAAGTAATACAGTGCTCCATGTCTATATAAAAAATCATCATCAAATTTTACAACTATAAATCAAATAAATATCCATAAGATTGTAAAACATTATTCTATCAAACACACAGATCACTAATTACCTATGAGAATAAAAGTCTCACTTGTTACTCTCAACTTTGTCTTCAATAATTAATCTAATCATATTGATAAAGTATTTCTCACTTCATCCCTAGATATTGAACAAAGCTAATAGTAATAATAAAATAAATAAACTATGAAACTTTAGCAAGTTAACCTACTAAAACAACAAGGGAAGTTTTCAAATTGGTCTAGCTCACCATCGAATAATATCAGAAGAGTTTTTGTGGATATTATAGTAATTTCAATAGTTGAGATCATGAGTCAGTTGAAGCTAGACCACCATGTAAAACCTGGAAGCACTGGTCGGCTGTTTCGTCCTATTATGGGACTCCTCATCAGTGCGCATCCAAGACCCCGCTTCGCGGGACTTGAACCCAGGACCTTTCGGTGCTTTCAGGTTTTCCATGGTGGTCTAGCTTCAATAGACTCGTGATCTCGACCACTGAGATTACTACAATCTCCACAAAACCCCTTTTGATACTAATCAACATATTCTCACTAGTGACTGGCGTCAAGATGTATATCCTGGAGTTCTAGTGAGAAGTAGTGACCAGTGAAGTTCAACCGGGTCAGTTGTGAGATAGTAACTCACTGACGACAATAGTGGATGTGTCGGCCAATTTCGTGGATTAGTTAAAGCTAGACATTAGCGCCGTTGAATACCGGCCGTCTCAGTGGTCTAGCAGTTAGGCGCTCACGCGCGAGACTGATAGGTCCTGGGTTTGAATCTCGCGAGGCGGAATCATGGCTGCGTACTGCAAAGGAGTCCCACAATAGGACGAAACAGCCATCCAGTGCTTCCATGTTTTCCACGATGATCTAGCTTCAATTGACTCATGATCTCGACCGCTGAAATTACTACAATCTCCACAAAACCCCTTCTGATAAGAAAGTGTGTTCAATAAATGTTCATCTAAATTTCAGTGTTCATTCTTCCAACTATATTATATTTTGTTTTCATTTTCTCAAAAAAATAACTATTCATTAACTATAGTGAAGACGAGCCAATAGCTGCACGTTTACGACGTAAAACACGTGTCTCTTATACGGGAACAAAAACTCCAATGTAAGTTTTCATTATTGTTGATTTAAACATTAGTACTACACGTTTCCAATGTTATGTAGACATTTACGTGCATTGATGCTAGAAGGTATACTCTAGAAAAACTTCTGCTATTATACTATTGTGATGTATGCCACTGATGTCAATAGATATAAGTAGTATGTACCACCAATCGAAAGTCGAATGTCTGGATGCAGAAGATTAAGATCGAAGAGAATGAGAACAGAGGGTGATTGGTGTGAAACGAAGAAACAATTTAGTCTGACACAATTGAGTGATATTTTGTAAATGAAGTATTTACCATATGGTTCTCAGATTCTAGTAAGACATTCTGTAATTTTGTGTTCAAATACATTTGGTTGTGCCCCACTAGTGTTCTCGTTCACTACACTGTGCTACCATGCTCTGTTTGGGCGTCCGGGCGGTATTCCATCCCTCACACAAATCTAACCATTTATGTGGCGCATATATATTTGATGCCTCCATATACCAATGTTTGTAAGTACACGCTCAGTTCTGAAGTTATGTATGTAGTAATAGTGTAATATTTCCCTCTATAAATCAGCGTTTCCTACTGTTTCATTTTCACGGTTTCAAAAGAAGTAGTGTAGTGAACGAGAACTCAGTTTTAATGCACAATTATACAGTTGCTAAGCAAAATATGGAAATTATACATTAAGTACATCATTTGCACACCTTTGCAGTGTCCTTTACATACTTCATTATTCTTCTGATTCTGTTGTTATCTCGGTTGCTGTCCGATTTCCTTCTTTTTCTCTTCATTTCAATCTTCTGTTGGCAGGCATTCCCTTTCCGACTGCTGCTACATACTACTTATGTCTGCCAACGTATGTAGCATACACTACTGTAATAATGAAGAAAAGAATTGTTAATACACTTGACCAGGTTAAGATATTTTATAGACTCTAGAATCTAAATGCCTACTTAATCTTATAAACAGACAAACATTAAATAAAAGTCAATACTTCTTAGTTGCCTATTGTAATCAACCAAACTGTCATACACAATACCTATGGTCATTATTGTTTAAAATACTGTTATTCTTTCCTTCTATAAAGAAATCTGTTATAAATTTATTTTATCAGTTTTATTAAGGAAATGCCATTTCACATTGGTTTAGTTAATATGTCAGTCAGCCACAACGTAGGACCAGGCACATATATGCATCGGCCCAATTTGCCATACCTCATTAGCACAACAGATGAACACCGAATTCATAGGAGTAGTTAAGTCAATGGTAGTAGTATGTAAAAGAAAGATTGCATATAATGATATAGTACAGGAAGAAAGATATGAAGCGATTTTAATCTCATAGTTTAAGAGAAGATAGAGAGTGTATACACCTCCATCATTGTGATCGATTCTGAGCCATGTCACCAAGAGTCTACAATCATTGGTTACGATAGTCACGATAGTTAATATATAGTAACTTTTAAATATATGTACACTGATATATCTGTCATTAAGTGAAAATTGTTTTCTACATGTTATCGTATAAACATTCAATGTAGTCTTTTTCATAATAAATGTTTTAATTTGGTAATATTATAAATAGTATATTCCTAAAATGATCACAAATAATCATTAAAAACTTGTTATGCTTATATGATTTTGATATGATTGAAAAGATTTATAAGTCAGGTAGATAATTTCAATGAAGTTTTGTTATCTAAGCTGGGTGGTTTATGATAAGTTTTCCAACTGTACACTTGAATCAGTTTCCTAAATTTTTTTATAACCCCAGACTAAAATGTACACATTCATCATTTATTTAAACACATGAATATTGGTACAAAGAGGTACCAAATAGTTATGCGCCACATAAATCATTCGATTTGTATGAAGGTTGGGATACTGCACGGGTGACCAAACCGAGGCAGGTAGTTTTCTTAGGGGGGCCATACCCGGAACGTTTTACCTAAAGGTCTGATTCACAATGTAGTACAGCAACGTCAGGAGATGCAGTCTCATCGTAGCTGGTGACCAACGATTGGTTCATACGACATTTTTCCTTCAGGATACCGGAGCCCATGTGCACCATTAGTTTGGAATCACGTTGTCCAATTCCTCTAGGTAGACTCTGTATCCATCAACCCGGTTAAAGCTCCGGACATTGGCTTTTCGTCCTGTGAATTTCGTAAACAACAGTAATGCCGCGAGAAGGCAGTGAGTAGGACTTCCATGTTAGTGGTTGTATGCATGTAGCCATGTGAGATCATTTGAAGCAGGAGAGCTGGCTCCTTACCCTCGGCCGTACCAGGGCATCTGGGGGCTACGAGAGAAAATGCACAAAGTGTGAAAAGAACCCTTTGCTCCAAGATTATTTATGCACAGGAAATCGTGGGTATTCATAGTATTTCAGATTGTCTTGTGTTTCTGGTAGTTTCTGAATCCACCATACTAAACATAGTATCAGTATAGGGAAGCATCCAATCACAAGTATGACATGCAATTCTTCACTTACTAGATGTTTCTGAGAAACTTCTATTCAACTCTGATGGGATAAAATATTTCCCAGTCTTTTCAGTGCCCATTTCTTGAGAAATACATTTGATCTCCTTAATACCTTTCTTCTTTCACAAAATAAAACTTCATCTTAAGATCTAATTGCTATATCCATTTGATAAAGTTCACTTTTACTACCCTAATATACTGATGATTGTTGATTCAATAATATAATGAATTGTATATGATTAAACTATCAAGTTTAGGGAAAAAACTTCATTTAAACATTATTTTGTTCATTTTTTTAAAACTTTATAACTAAACCAACTTAATTCTGTTATTCTTTTCATTAATTTATATAGGTAAATAATAGTATATAACTATATATATTCTGTACAAAGTAAATTGAAATCATACATTTATCTCTATTCAATAGTTATCTTGTCATTCCAAATTACAATGTTTACATTTTCCTTTCTCCATGTATCTATTTACATTTGTAGTTATAACTAAGTATCTTCAATGAATCATACTACTTATAGGTTAATTTTGTTATATTCATTCCATTCCATTCATTTCTTCTCTTCAATTATTATCGCTCTTTTCTTGAATGTATACTTTTGCATAGATTTGCTTTTGTACTTTCTTTTTCTTCTCAATTTCACAATAGGATAAAAATATACTATTTTTTTTTAACATAATGTTTTCCATTTACATTCGGTTTATACAGAAAGGTAAGTTTTGTTGTGAAATATTCCCATATTGTAAGTTTAGAACAACATATATAAGCGAACAATATTGTTTTCGATTAGATCCTCATCAGGCTTTACTCTAATATACAGCAATATTTATATGCATATACGAAATTATTAAACCAATCAAGGTAGTTTATAAGTCAATGATAACAATGGAAAAGATTACATAATAAGTAAAATGTGAAAAGTACAAATTGATGGTGTGACAACAGGTGCATTAGTTTTTGATAAGCAATAATAATAAAGGTTCAAATCAATGTTACATAATCTGAAATAGGTCAATGATTAGAAAAATATAGAAACTGAGATAACAATTATAAAATTATAAGATGACGTAATAAGAAATGTTCAGATAATTGGACCATGAAACGTATAGTTGAGAGAAAATAAAGTGGTAGAAGGGTGTGAAGAAAAATAATAAACGAAGAGAATAAATAAATACATTCATTTATTACTTAAGGCCAAGGGAGAGATAAGGGAGTTACAAATTTCTTCTGGACACAAAGACTTGGCTTGTTGGCTCGGATTCCTATAGCTTCTGCTATGTGTAAGAGACGAGATCGAACACCATAAGGAAAACTAGTGGGAATCCGATAAATAACTTTAAACGACTTGTTTCTGTCCACTATATGACCGCTATCGATCAAGTGTGATAGAACCGAGCTGCGTATTGTTTTGACATAGCCTTTTCCTAACCATGAAGGGAGGTGTTCATTAACTCGTTGGTTCAGTTGCCTGGTAGTGCGCCCGATATAGCTTTCTCCACAGGAGCAGCTGAATTCGTAGATACACATAGAAGTGGCGTAACCAGGTAACTTATCCTTCAATTGCGGAATCACCATCGATCGGGTTGAATACGATAGGCAGAGGTTGGCAGCATTAAACGTTCTCTTTACTGATTTAGTCAATCTATCTCGTAATACATCGCTAGCCACATCACCATTGAATTGCAGTTTCAAGAAAAGTGGTTTCTTATTAGCCGTCAGGGTCACTATTTTCCTGTTTTTACGCGCAAGTGTTTCTTCAGGAAACCCAGTGGATATCTGTTATGACCTTGCGTCTCCCAATTATATTGTTTTTGCCAAATCCCCGTCGCCAATTGTTATGGCCTTGAGTGTCTGACTTTTCGATCACACGATTTATCTACCAATCCGGATACGACTTATACGAATCTTCACACTAGGCCAACCAATGACGTTCAACCGGTGTGGGCAGTTTAGCGTCCTTATTGGTCCTATGTCCTACGAGCCCTTCCACTTGAGTCCAGAACAAAATACCAGCTTCCGAATCAGAGCAGATCAGACCAGATCGTTTATTTCAGACATACTTGGTTTATATCAATCATACAGACCGCAACGTACCATAAAATAGAAAATAATATTTGTACACAAATAAGCCCAAAAGTGGCTGTGGATGTGGGAGGCAGTAGTTAATAAGCTGAACATAACTTAAGAACCGTAAATCGTACAATAATAAGTTATAGGTCAAAATAAAGCTTATAATAAGAGGAATATAAATATATGTAATGTAATTGTTGAATAATTATACAATAAGAATATTTATAGAATATTAGTCCATTAATAGTCCTCGGAAGTTACCTGTAATTTAATCTCCACTCGGATATAACAATATCCTAGTTCAATCAAAATATTATGAATGTGTTGTAATTCTCTATCGATAGTGTCGACTGAGCATATCTTAAGAGCTCTATTTGCAAGGCATTTGACTAAGTTTCTCTTATAATGAAGAGCACAAAGCTTAAAAAATGTGTGTATTGGCCAGGCGAAGAACTTTTCCTTTACACACCCCTGCTGATCGGACCATCTTCTTTTCTACTTAACAAAACGTCCAGAAAATTTAGTTTGTTATCTATTTCCTCCTCACATGTAAATTTAATAGCAGGATGTTTGTTATTAAATAGTTCCAGCAGTTGTTCTTTTCTAAGGTTTTGATCGGCAATGATGAAGGTGTCATCAACGTAACGACAGTAGAAATCTAGTTTATTGATAACCTCCTTGAGAGGTCCGTTTTCTAGTTTCGCCAGAAAAAAATCCGCAAGGATGGGACCTAGTGGCGGGAGAGAGGGAAGAAATTGTTCTGATCTGTTTAAGATTTTTATTTCAGTAGTTAGAATCATGAGTCAATTGAAGCTAGACCACCATGGAAAACCTGGAAGCACTGGTCGACCGTCTCGTCGTGGTATGGGACTCTTCAACAATGCGCGTCCACAACCCTGCCCCCCACGGGGGGGACTGACTTCAAGAGGCATTTCCTGGAGTTCTAGTGATAAGCTGTTACCAGTGGAGTTCATTAAGGTTTGTTGTGAGATATCAGCTTACTGAAGACAATGGTGTACGGTGGAGCAATTTCGTGGATTGATTGAAGTTAGATATTAACACCGTTGGATGCCGGCCAGCTCAGTGGTCTGATGATTCAGCGCTCGCGCCCTTAACTAACAGGTCCTGGGTTCGAATCTCGCGGGCGGGATCGTGGATGCGTACTGTTGAGGAGCCCCATACTGGGACGAAACGGCCATCCAGTGCTTCGAGGTTTTCTATGGTAGTCTAGCTTCAATTGACTCATGATTTCAATTATTGAAATTTCTAAAATCTCCACAAAATCCCTTCTGATTTTAGATTTTTACTATCAGAAAAAAACCCGATTTATTTCAGTGTAGTATATCTTCTGTTTAGAATTGTTTGGTCACAAATGTCATATTTTGCTAGTCTGATTTTACTACTGACAGAATTTTACTGATCAAGTTACGATGTAGTTACCAGTTCAAGTGCATGTGATGTCAAGTCACTGTGTTGAGATGTAAGGCGGTTGACGGTAGTCTACAAGAAACCCTGGTTTCATAATGTTCGCCTATCTTCACCAAGATGTTGTATCTTGAGGGAACTGATATTTCTTGGCAGATCCAGTCCTGTATCACTCAGTTTCAAAATCGGGGACATTACTACTGGGCTGCTCGAACTTCGAATAACCAACTATAGGAACAAAATGTGTATCCTCAAGTTTACAAGTACACTTTGCTAATGAATTCCAAATAGAAAAAACCTCATGTTCATAGTCTCCTGTCGATTACTTTGATTCACCTGACACAGCTGCCATTTGTAGTCTGGTTATTAATGCGTTTCACTTGTCTCAGATGGAAATCATGGGAATGAATCAATAACTAATAGAGCACAAGTGATAATCGTGTGACAACTTTGTTAAAACTGTGGGTCGTGTTTGTGTGTTGTTATTTGAAAACCGTTGTATTAAAAACGTATATTTTCCAATTAGCGAGCTAAAATATAACTATATTGAGTCTTTTCCATTCAGTGTGTTTTACTACATTTTTTATCCAACAATGCTAACTGACGAGTGAGGATAAATTCCATTCTCATTCACAACTTTGACCTTGCACCTGGAAATCAACCAAAATGAAGCGGGAATTATTATTTACACTATTGTAATTCACTATTTGTCGTTTTTCCTGGCTTACATGAAAAATGTAAAGTTTTCTACGTCGAAACTAATACTCAAACATGCTGCGGAGGTATTCAATGTTTGAAAAAATCACAGTATGGCAAAAGTCATATTGACGCCTGTCACCCCTCGTGGAGGAGCATAGGCCATCCACAAGTATTCTCCATCCATACTTTCCAGTCCCCATTCATCGTTTTGACGTCTGCTACCGATTCCCGATGTAGTGCGTTCTTCGGTCTCCCTCTTTTTCATTTCCCTTCAGCATTCCAGGTAAGTGCTTAGCAAAAGACATACCTCCAATTAATTCTATAATAGACATTATCCCGAATTATCTGCAAATGACTGATCAAGTAATTGGGAGCATAATCACAGTTAACGACTAAGATACACTTAAATGACTTGGAGATGTAAAGTCTATCTCCAGCTCTAAATGACTGGTCGTTTGTCTGGAGTAAAGTTGACTGTGTTTTCAACTATTTGGCATTGATACATGCTACCTAATTACAATAAGTAGTATAAAATGTAATACAACACATTTGTAGAATTCAAGTTGTTACAAATTGTAAATCAATGTAACGTACCAAGTAACTAAAGGTTCTTTAGGATTCAAAACAAAAGGAATTGAATAACAGAATTTTAAAAAATCAGGGTACTTTTGTTAATTATTGGTTCTATTTCAGACTAACATTCCTATAAACTTGTAACGACTGTAGACAACAAAGGAAAACCTTGTGCGCGATTGTCTGTTTGACCGTGGAAAAAGACTTGAGAATACTTAGCGACAGTTGCTTATGTATTGGATTTCACAATATGAAACAATAGGGAATGAGCTACAGTGAAGTTTACTTTCCATTTGTTAATAAGACACAACAACATGAAGTTTCCAATAAGTAGAGTAGTCTATCCACTCAGCTATTTCACTTTCTATCGTTAGACTAGGTATTGACGTAGATCAGTTCTGAAGAAGTATTTTATATAAAGTAGGGAAGAGAGGCAACCTAAAAATTCTTTCATTGTCACTCAGGGCGCTCAAAAGTCTTTTATGTCTGTATATTCTAGGTAGGTTAATGAGTCTTCATGTAGTAGCTCAGACCCTAACAAAGTGATTTGTTTTGTGACATATCTATAGCAAAACTTGATAAAATGATAGCGAGCAACCCTGTCTTATCTTCCCAACATATCACATTAGAACCATGATGCAAAAAATGTTCCAACCGAACTAGGTCTATTAGCTCGTCATGATAGTCAAGCCCAATCATCGCGTCAAGGTAGTTAAGGCGGATGGATGTTCCTCACTGTGAATTTGCGTCATATTTCGTAATCAATCATTAATACTCTAACTGCTACCTTTTACAATGGTCATTATTTAAAAAGGTTTCACAAGCTAGTGGCTTTTAGAGGAATCCGTATTTTACAAGTGAGTTTTTTTATGTCGGTGAGTGTTGAGACAGTTAACTATCTCCAT